TACCTGGATCAGTTCCCTTATCTCTATAATAAGAATAAGAATAATTAAACTTTGCTAAAAGCATTTAGAAGATTCTCAAAGCAGAACTGGATATGAAATTTCCGTGTCAATTAAAAAACTCCATTGCCGTATAACCATTGACATTGTCAAGGGTCAGTCATCAAGTTTATCAAAACTCTTGGTACTGTCTGAGAATGACCTCAAAGCAACAGTCTTCTTGATGTTTACTAAAATGAAAAAAGGCTTTGAAAGAGTCACTCAACATCAAGAAATATTGATAAAGAAAATTAAATAAGTCACTGAAATAGCATTAAAGGAACTAACGAACACAGCAGCAAGCCAATAGCAGCAGAATGGAAGAAGTCAAGAACCAAACACACAATCTCAAAAATAAAGTTAATCTATCATCAATACAAAGGTAAAATAGAAAAAAATTTTAATGGAGAAAATACAAAGCATTTAATGGACAATAACAGCAGAACAATTTCTGAATCATAGAGATTACTGAAGGATTGGAAAGAGGGAAAGTAGAATAATAACTAGTAGAAGAAATAATAGCTCAGAACTTCTATTGTCTGAGGAAGGAGAACTGTGCGCAGATCCAGGAGACCTAATGAATGCAAAATAAAATAAACCCAAACAGGCCAACTCCAAGACAGTTGAAATCAAATGGCAAGAATGAGAGAGAGAGAGAGAGAGAGAGAGAGAGAGAGAGAGAGAGAGACTACTTAAAGGCAGTAAGAGAAAAGCAAAATCTCTAATTACAAGGGAAATTAAATAAAATTTACATCAGACCTCTCAAATGAAACTAGAAACAAGAACACAGTGTAATAATATGTTCAAAATACTGAAGGAAAAGAACATTCAACCAAAAGTCTCCTACCCTGCAAGAATGTAACTCAGGTTTAAGAAAGAGACTAAAAACATTCTCAGACAAACAGATGCAAAGAATAGTTTCCTACTAGGGGGAAAAGGCAGCTCAGATAGAGAAGGAAGCGCCAAATAAAGGGAGTTGGGAGGGTCCTCCCAGGATGGGAGATGTATGCTGAAAGTAGATGATAGACCGAACATGATTGCCACTGGATGCCTCTTTTGCAAACCACAGCACCCAAAAGGAGAGAGAGAACAAAAGGGAATGCCCTGCCACAGAGGCAGGGTGGGGTAGGGAGGTTTGGGGGGTGGGAGGGATACTGGGATCAGGGGTGGAGGAAAATGTGCACTTGTGGAGGGATGAGTCTCGAAAATTGTATAATTGAAACCCAAGCATAAAAATTTGTAAGTCTACAACTGTACTTCATGGTGTTTCACTAATAAAAATTAAAAAAAAAGAATACTCTAGAAAAATGAATTGTCTCCTAGAAAAACAAACAAATGTCATGGTAAAACCAATGAAATGAAAATACATGTAAAAACTCAAGCTGGGAAGAATAGGGTTTAGGCCTCACGCTCTGCATCCTCGTACTCTCCAAATTCTGCCTCAATTTCTGGCACCACATGACTTCCCAAGCATCACTAGGTATAGTCTAGAAGACTCAGAGCCACCTCTGGGCATGACTCTGGAGGACTAGTACCACCATAGGATCCAAGGATTTCCACATTTATGACCATAGCACTGAACTGCAGGTTAGGTTGGCTGATTTTTGCTGGGATGAATCCTTAACAACCTTCAGAGCAGTATTTGGGAGTATTTTTCCCCCTGGATAGATAATAGATATATAGGTCCACCTGCAGAGTGGTACTAAGATTTCAAACTAACTGATGCCCAATTTCAAAATGAATTTTCGCCATGTCAAAAGTTAAGACCTAAGGAAAGATAATCGCCTTCTTCTCTCATAGCATCTGTATCTGTCTTAAATAAAACTGACGTGAGACAAATGTATCAAATGGCTTTTTAATTTTTTTTTAACTTTTGAATTAGCATCCTGCTAAATGAAAAGTAAGACATGATTTCATTCAACTATTCCATGTTAGCCTATATTTTGGCAGCCTCCAGGGAGCTGTGCCTTAGGCCAAATCACTAAAGCCAATTCCTCTTGGAGTTTCAGCTTCTGATAATGTTGACTGCACTTTGATAACTCACATGGACTAAGTTTCCAGTTATCACATGTAGGAGCCGTTTTCTTAAGCAGAGTTGTCTCCCTCAAATTTCCCCAGAGTTTCTGCCTGTATCTACATTTCCCAGTTTCTTGCTCCTGAACAGACCATGGATTTCTTTGCTGTTTCTTGAAGTTTATGGGCTCTGCCATTCCTTTCACTAATTTATTTCCCAGTTTGTGGTGTATAAAGATTGAAGAAGATAGTTCAGGGCTAAGGCACTGGCCTTGCATGCTGCTGATCTCATTCAGTCCCCAGCACACATGGTCTCCAAAGCACCCTCACAAGCCCAGAATAGGAAACCCTGGAGCACTCACAGACATAGAGCCAGCCCCCAACACCCAGTAATACTCCTTTTCCATAACTACTGACCCCCTAGAAATATTTTGTTCCTCAGAGAAAATCAATCATATCTGTTATGTATGTATATGTGTGTATATATATGTATATATATATATATATATACACACATATAATCTTTTTGTAAATGTTTTCTAAAAAAATCAAACTGACAGAAATTAGAAGTTTGCATATTGTCAACTGACTTGAACCTCAGTGGTAGAACAAAACCTGTCACTGTCCTCCCGTTGTTCATCAATTTGCTCCAGCAGGCCCAGTAACGTCTCCATTGGAGACTTTGTTGTTACTGTGTTTGGCATATCGAATACATCATGGGGAGCTTGCCAGGCTCTGCCGTGCCGGCAAGATACTCTCAGTAGCTTGCTCGGCTCTCCGAGAGGGACGGAGGAATCGAACCTGGGTTGGCCATGTTCAAGGCAAACTCCCTACCCGCTTTGCTATCTCTCCAGCCTTGAGAATTACAAGGAAGAAATTTTACTGATTAAAGTATTTAACTAGTATTATTCCAAGACTTTTTGTGTTATTAAGAAGAGAAAAATAACTGTAAGGGAAAATAAATAAGTTGGCTGCAGTGTGGGGCTGGAGTAACAGAACAGCGGGTAGGGCATTTGTTTTGCACACGGCTAACCCAGGTTCGATCCTCGGAATCTCATATGGTCTCCCAAGCTCTGCCAGGAATAATTCCTGAGTGCAGAGCCAGGAATAACCCTGAGCATCACTGGGTGTGACCCAAAAAGAAAAAAAAATTGGCTGCACTGTATATGATGACTCGTGCGTTAATTTTCATATACATTAGTTATTTTAAATGTAATTAGACTTCTTACTATAAATTTCTTCTATTTATACTCCTGGCACAGCATATTTCAAGTGTATATAATTTATTCTGTATTGATAATCATTAAAGAAATGCAATTATAAACTCATAATTTCCTGAAAATTCCTTTTGTAATGGGTTCATACATAATCATAAGATATAATGGTCATTACATATAAAAAAGAAGTAGGTGAACTCATTTGTGTTACTGTAGTAAATAGTAATAATGGTTCTCTGTGATTTATCATGTCTTCTGTCAGCTTGTCACTATCAATTATTTCCAAATGTTTTTTCTGGCAAAACTGTACAATAAACAACTGTTCAGATCATTTTTTCAGTAGTATGATCCTAGAAAAGAATCAGTCACAGTGGAATATATGTTAAGAAAAATATGCAGGGGCTGGAGTGATAGTGCAGCGGGTAGGGCGTTTGTCTTGCACAAGGCTGACCCAGGTTCGATTCCCAGCATCCCACATGGTGCCCCAAGCACCTCCAGGAGTAATTCCTGATGCAAAGCCAGGAGTAACTCCTGAGCATAACCGGTTGTGACCCAAAAAAAGAAAAGAAAAGCAAGGATCACTACTATTGGTAATAGCTTAGAACTCAGAACTGACTCTGCACCAGACCCTATGCTATTTATAGATAACTAAAATAACTCCCCCAAGTGACTCTTATTGCCTCTGAAAGGTAGAGAAATCCATTCATTTGCACAGTTAGAGAAGAAGAAGCAGTAGAAAAAAAGATATAAATGTAGTTTGCACCTAGTGGACTCACTGTTATAATGCACACTTTTTTGTTTTGCTTATTTGAGTTTTTATTTTGGAGCCACATCTGGTAGTGATCAGAGATTAATCCTGGCTTTGTGCTCAGGGATCACTCCTGGCAGAATGGTGCGGGGGGATCAAACCCTGGTTGACCACATGCAAGGCCTACAGCTTACTTGCTCTGGCCTCTGGAATGTACACTTTACACCTGTGTGTGAACAGGTGAAATTCTGCAGACACACACACCTGGAACTTCCAGGAGAAAGTCCAACTTAATTTACCATTAAATCATTCAAGAGCAAACGTCTTAATAGTTTTCACTTTTGTGATGACTTTCGACATCCCTTTTCTGTCTCCAACTCTGAATTATTATTTATCATCGTAGACAACAATAGCACTTGTGACACCTTGACTTACGCTTTTCTCACTGTGGATAGGAACTTGCATGGTATTTCGGACCATATTGAGAGACTAATTAGCACTTTAGGACAAATAAGTAGCAAATTGCTAACAGGGTAAATAAAGCGAGACTCAGATTTTATAGTACTATCATTAATATGTGTGTGGTATTGATTTTATTATGTATTCCTTAGTGCTAGAATCTCTTAGGTTTAAGTAAGCTGGTTGTATTGTACATCCGTTTAACCATTCTGTTTTTCTAGTTTGGAGGAATAACAAGAACACACTTTAGAAATCACTCGCAGTTTATAAGGTGATGCATTAATCCTCCAAATGACAGGAAATCAAGATTTTTGTCTATGGGGTTTAAGTTATTAAAATTGAATTTGCCCGTGTGCTTTGCTCCAATAGCTCTGTGCTAGCAAACTCTCGCTATAATTAGATTAGTAGCCTGCTAAATGCTGGTGACAGCCTGCGCCTCAGAGAGCATGTGCTGGATTCTGCATGCGCCTCTCCTCATTGGTTGCTAGCATTGCTGCTCGCCGGTTTGATAGGTTTCCACAGTACTCTTTATGCTGCATTGGAGACATAGATACAGAGATACTCTCCAGTGTTCTTGCCACGATGGAGGTGCTTAGCTGGTAATGTTAAGAAGGAAGAAAGCACAGAAGCAGGCGTTCGTCTTTGTTGTAGAGCACGGCAGTCATCCACTGCTAGCTGCAAGAGGCGATCAGGGACGAAGTTTCAGTTCATGGTAATTACTTTGAGTCTTTATCTCGCAGGAAAGGCGCAGCCATGCATGAAATGAAGCTTGTTCATCAGGTCATCTATTTCACTTGATCTTGCTTTAGTTAATAGCATGCTTACTCTCCAGCATTCCGGACTGAAATATATTCTCCCGGAGAAGGCTGAGCTGGTAAACAACAATCCCGCTTTATGCAGGAGTGTTATTTTTACCTGAATTCCAGAGTGCATGTGCTGGCGAGTGATTCTTATTGGTTCTCTTCTGTTTTGGAAAGCCTGATGTTGTGTCAATTTGGGTGTCTTTCGAGGTGCTATTCAGTGCCCGGTTGACTTTGTTTGCATTGAGCCCAGACTCCTGAATAATAAGCAATTGAGGAGAGTTTGGTGAAAACCCACTTTAACTAGGACAGTGCACGGAGGCTCCTGTCGACGCAGTCTTAGCAGAAGTAACATGCTATTGTTTCTTCAAAGACGTGTGCAGCCTTCATTTTGAATGGCTTTCTTTGTCTCACCTTTTGTAGTTTTCACTGAGCCTTTTGAATTTAGAGGATGTTGCCATCGCTCATTCTGCCCAAAATATGTATAGGTGTGTATTCAGCCATGCCAAAGAGAACATTTTTGCCTCCCGTGCTTTGTTTATCAAGGACAGAGCTGGCGGAGTTGAAAGGAGATCTCGGAAAGGTGGGGTTCTTCCCACTTGGACTAATGTTTGACAGCATTTAAACATGTCTTTTGTCACTTGCCTGAAGGAGCTTTCAAATCAAACAATAAACAATCTTAAATTCGGGACAATGGGTTATTAAAAACGAAAGAATATTTAAATGACCAAAATGGAGCTTTACAAAAAACAAACAAATAAACACATGCAATGGGACTTTTTGCTACTGGATGGACTTTCCGCCAGATAGAAAAGCCCCCTGTGACCAGCAAGTCTTCAAACTTAAAGATTGAAGCTTTTACCGTATCACCCCACGGACACCGCAGAAACTTGTGTACTGAGTCACCAGTCACAGGGCTGGCTGACTGCCACCATGCGTCTGGGATCAGGGGAGAGCCCTGGTAGTGCTATCTGGAAGCTGTCAGGGACTAATCCCCTGCTCCTGGAATGCTAGATGTAGTTTCTCAAGTATTTTGCTAAAGAAGAACTCTTTAAAGTTAAGTCTGCATACTTGTTAAAGGAACTCACACAGTATAGCCTTCGGTAGTGGGTCACTTCAGAATACTGGGCTTCACCCCTCTCCCAAGTGTCTCCCTCTTCCATCTCGATGCATAATAAAGTGCCCAAATGATATTCACTGAAGTAACAAGTTTAAAGAAAAAAATAATATTGTGAAAATCTGTCATGTATGGTATGCAATAATAGAGTGTTGTCTCCAATAAGATACTTCCATAGCTTTCCTCAGGATACAGTGTCTCTGAGACTTCCAGAAGCCTGCAGTGTTTCAGTTTGCAGGTGCCACCTGTGGTGAAATGAATCAAAGATGGGGTCTCTACTTATAGCCCTTCCTTCCTATCTGGGCTCTTTTTTTGAACTAAGCCTCATTCAAGGCAGAAAGTTGCTTGGCATTGTGGGCAGCTAGGTGAGTGAGGGCAGAGTTTCGCTCTTCTTCAGATTTCCACCCTGCACCTCTGTTTCATGCTTTCATTTCTTGCCTGGCTGGCCTGCCTCTTTCTGCCAGGGACATGGAGAGTAAGCTTTTCAACAGATAAGTGAGTCAAGTCAGAGGATCCTTTGCAAAGAACAGATCCAGACAATTCCATAATTGTCTCTCCCTCTCCTTCCCTTAATCTCCTGAAACGCTTTCTAAATTATCTAAGTTTTAGGCAGTTTCTAAGAAGCAGGGCTGTCTTCAAAGTAAACTATTGTCAAACACAATTTGCACAGGTTAGACTGTGAGTTATAGCAACTGTGGTTCTAGCAGATGGTTGTTTTCAAAGGTTGTGTCTTAAACACTGTGTGTTTAGAAAGGACTTATTTTAAAATGTAAACATAAATGGATTTGTCTTCTATATAAGGAACAATGACACAAAACCCCTTTGACATATATGAAAGGGACATTTTCTCACTAGTTCCATATAAAATGGAAGTTTTTATGAGGTGATAAAACTGCATTTTTAACTTCAGATGAATATTTAAGCATATTTTACTATGCTGATAGGAATTTTTGTATACTTCTGATGTAGAAAAACAAAGATACGTTTCTTGAGCACTTTAAAATACTGTACTCCGTACTCTTTATAATTGTATAACTCTTTATTGATGGGACTATAACATTTCTGACCAATCAATAAAAGGTATATTAGCATGAACTCCACACTCAGACAATACCTTTAATTTACCTTATCTCAATATTAAGTCATTATCCGATACAAGTGATACTCTTTACTTTTCATTCTAGTGACTTTCAATCTTAGCAAAAGAAAAAAAAAGTAATCATTGGTTTTGAAATGTAAAGACAACATGTAGAATTTTGACATGCCATAAGGCAACCATTCTGACAACAACAGCAAAAATAGGAGAAAAAATGAGAAATCTTTTGTTTGTTTTGGTTTGCTTTTTTGGAGGTCACACCGGCAATGCACAGGGATTACTCCTGGCTCTGCACTCAGGAATTAGTCCTGGCAGTGCTCGGGGGCCATATGGAATGCTGGGAATCGAACCCCAGAGCCAGCCTCGTGCACGGCAAACACCCTGCCCACTGTGCTATCGCTCCAGTCCCAAAATGAGAAATCTTTGGTTCGAGTTCAGGATAATAAACTATAGATAGCTTTGTGGCCACTCACTTGCTATCTGTGATATCAAGAGAACTAAAGGAGATCTGTCATTAATAATTGATAAATATTTCAGGTTTGACCCACCAAAGTTTTCCTGGACTGAGAAATTTTCTGAAGAAGCACTTGGCCTCTCCTCTCAGTGTACTTGTTTTCCTTCACGATTCCATTCCATATCATTGTCATCTATCATGCAGTAGGTTCTGTGCTGAGTTTTGAGAAAGAAGACACAGATCTTATGAAGGTGCTGAGGTAAATAGGGAAGGCTTCTCATGAGAGAGAGTAATATTAATCCAGAATCATTTTTACACATATCTTTTTCTTTTTTTTTTCTTTTTGGGTCATGCCGAGCGATGCATAGAGGTTACTTCTGGCTCTGCACTCAGGAATCACTCCTGGCAGTGCTCTGGAGACCATATGGGGTGCTGGGAATCGAACCCGGGTTGACCGCGAGCAAGGCAAACGCCCTACCTGCTGTGCTATCTCTCCAGCCCATACACATATCTAGCACCACATTCACTACTTATATTGTCAGGTGGGGATTCGTGTGGCACACTGATATGTGCCATAATTTATATTGTCATCTTATTTGTGATCATGAATAAATTTAAACTATTCTTCCTTCCATTCTCTCTTCTTACAATACAACACTTATTGCCTTAAACTATTTTAATTTTAAGGGTTTTTTTATTAAATGGATTTTGAAAAAATAATGCATCTAGTTATTTAAAAATATACCTTAAGGGTAGCTCTTTGCACTTACATTACCGTTGGATTCATAAGTAATTTAGTGATTACTTTAGAAACTGTTTACATTACCAAAAATTCTCTTTTGCTGTTTAGTGCTTGTTGACTCTTGAGAATCATGTACTTTGTACATGATTATTAAGGGAAACTTGTCAAATTAAGGCTTGCATTGTTTTGTTGATGTTGCTGATGTTGTCTTTATTTTTATTATTTTTATTTTTACCACTTTATTTAAATACCAGGTTTACAAAGTTGTTCTTGATTTGTTACAAGCATTCAATATTCTAACACCAATTCCACCACCACTGTCACCTTCTCTCTCTCCATCACTGTCTCCATTTTCCCAACCACCCCTCAAGCCTGCCCCCATAACAGACCCACAGTATTTTATTTTAGATTGTTTGTTACCAGAAAATGGCTAACAGAATGATCAAAAATGATTTCTATAGAAGAAAATTTGTGAAAATTGTTGTAGCTCATCATGGGGGCTATTAAGTCCTTATCTGAGTTTATTATACCAAGCTGTTGTTAGGGCTTGCGTTATTTTTAACCTTGCAGTTAGTCTTACTGGGGTAAAAGAATTATGATTGAATATGGATATATTTTGAATCCCGCCAAGTTCGAATGAAACTTGTAAGGATCACGTGTTTGCTTTAGATCTTAACACCAGTAAAATGCACGCTGGAGTACAGATACTGCAGACTCTCCAACTCCTGCAATGTTTACTTTGGGCTTCTACTCTTACTTTTTCCCAAGCCCATTATTCTTACCCCATTCATTCTGCCTTGCTGAATTGAACGTTTCTCTTACAAGCTGATTGCCAAAGCCAGCATTGCTGAGTCTCCTGGTCTCCAGGAAGTAGCTTCCTTTCTATTTCCTCCTGTCTCTGATTGTTCTTCCTCAGTTTCCTAATTGTCTTGCCTATTTTTAAAAGCAGACATATTCTGCATTTTGCCTTTCTTCAGCTCTCTGTTGGTTGGCTAATTTATCACTGTGGACTCTTGCCCCTTCTATGCTCTCCGGATCTCCTTCTTCAGAACCTCTGCACTCGTCCTTTCCCATGTTCCTAGCATGTGCTCATCCTCCCCCATGTTCCTAGCATGTGCTTGTCCTGCCCCATGTTCCTGGCATGTGCTCTTGACTTGCTCCCTCTCTATGTGCAGGCTTTTGCTCAACTATTGTCACTTTCTCAGTGGAACATTCTGAAATACTGTGACTGTTGTATTCTTTGGTTTCTTTTTTTTCAGTCATTCCTCTCTGGATTATAAACCCTAAAGTCAGACATTTCTGCCTTAGTCCCCACTACCTAGAAGAGAATTTGGTTCAGAGAAAGCATTTGGTCAATACTGGAATGAATGAAAGAAAGAAGGAATGATTGACTGCTGGCACAGGAGTCTCAAAATGCAGGCGAAGGGAGCTTGAGGGGAAGTCAGGAGTTCAGCCCCAGCCAGCTAAGTGCTTTGTGCCCAGCCCCCACCCTGAGTGGGCCTCTGTTTCCTGTTTTGAAGTGGGGATTAAGCTCCAGATGGGGACAGAGGCCCTTTGCCAACCTGCCCCACCTTGGGCAGACCCAAACTCAGCTGTGCTGAGCTGATGTTCTAGAAAGGAGAGGAAGTACAGACCTTTATTTATGTGCCTTCTCACAATCTGATGTTTATATTCTTCTTTCTCTTTAAACTGTGATCAGTGGTTCAGTGTCTCCTAAAAAAAAGTCAAAATGAGTCAACACTTAGCTTTTCAATGAAGTATGTAAAAACCGATATATTTCGCCTTGACACTTTTATCTGTTTTTTTTAAATTATCAGTGAATTTAAAATAGTTTCTGTTACTATTCATAGCTTGCCTATTTTTGTCAAATAAAAAAAAAGCCAGAACAATGTTTCTTTTTCCTCTATTTTTAGATACTTCATGATACAGAATGTACTCTCAGAAAAAGAATTCCCTGTGACTTCAGTCTACTGTCCATAAAATACTCTTTCCTCTTTCAGTAAGTATATTACTCTGCTTTGATCCATTCTGAGAAGGTATTGATTCTCTTTGAAAACCTGTGTCATGGTTACATTAAGACAAAGAGGCTGAGGTTTCAGATATTTTGCTGTCTGGCTAAAAGGTGGGGGGAAAATCTCTGCCTTTGAGGTCGCCAGCAGCAATGCTAGTAACCCCAGTCACAGGGATTTGCTGCTCCAAAGAATTTCCATGATAAGCTTTGTACAAATGTCTCTCATTAAATACTGCTTTATATTTATTAGTAATCTGTCAACTATTTAGAGGTGCAAGGATTTGAGCACAGTATTTAACAACAGTCTTATCCTCCAGTGAGAAGAAAGTTATAAGTGGTTGGGGGAATGTGATGGTTTTTGTTTGTTTGTTTGTTTGTTTGTTTATTATTGAATCACCATGAGATGCAGTTACAAAGCTTTCATGTTTGAGCTTCAGTCATACAATAATTGAACACCCATCCCTCCACCGCTGCACGTTTTCCATCACCAATATGGTGTTTTTAAGGAGACCCATGGGTGTAGAGTCAGCAGTAAGAGCTTTGGAGGGGGATGGTGGGGTGGGAGGGACTTTCTGGGAGAAATGGCTTTCTAAGGAAAACTGCACTGACAGCACAGAATCTGTCTGTCCAGGCACAAGCTCTTACCTCTTTAACCATGAAAGAGGTCTGTGTTGGGGCTGGAGCGATAGCACAGCGGGTATGACATTTGCTTTGCATGTGGACAACCCGGGTTCGATTCCTAGCATCCCATAGTGTTCCCCAAACACCGCCAGGAGTGATTCCTGAGTGCAGAGCCAGGAGTAACCATTGTATATCATCAGGTATGACCCAAAAAGGGAAAAAAATGAGAAAGAGGTCTATGTCTTTCCATGGGGGGATTTTGCCACTTCACAGGCAATGCTTTGACTTCTTTCTGGCAGCCACATGATGAAGCCTGGAAATTTCAGAGAGATCAACCCATCGTCCTGAGAAAGAGCTAAGGGAATACTATATGGATAGTTCCAGTGCCCTGCGGATGCTAAGCTGAGCGCCTCAGACATGGCTGCCTAGCTGCATCTATAGGACTACAGGGCACACAGTAAGTGGCTATTTCTACGCTCAGTGTCCAGGCCCGTGGACACTAAGAATGGTTTGTAGCCTCACATTGACTCGGAAAAAGGTATAGACAGTTTCTCCCTTTTATAGTTCTGAGAACTCTAGAACATCTAAAGAGGAGCTGAGGAATGATTTGGGACATAAGAGACGACTCTACAGTTAACTCATGTCCAAAATCACTTGAGCAGTAGATAGCAACCTTCATGAGCAGTCTCAACATGATGGCGTGTATGTATTTAGGGGGATGATGTACTTTGATTTGATCGGCAGCCTTTCTTGAGCTTCCTTTTCAACATCTACGTAGAACTTGCCATTGCCTGTGTAATATAGGCCATGCCTTGTAATTTCTTATTGTGATAGTAATGCCTATTGCCTGGGACATTGTTAGACAGATGTTTTTGTTTCCCAGGAAGCTGAGAATCTAACTTAGGCTGACAAGTGAGAACCAGCCTGTACCAGGTGGTTCTCTGCAATCTGTGGGATACCAGAGCAATTAAAGTAAAAGCCAGCAAGCACCCCTTAGTGTGATATTCCGAAATCCATCACTCTTATCACCACACTACCTTATCTTCTTATTTCATTTGTAACAAGTTCTGATCCTGTTGGCTGGGAGGAATTCACTGACTCACACACCCAAAATTCTGAATGCTTCTGAACATAAAAGTTGGCTGGGAAATACCTTCCAACTGGGTGTACATTTTCCACTCTGCTTGACTGAACACTGCAAGGGGGTTCCTGGGATGCAAAACTCTCAGAGTTAAAAACAGGGACAATTTCCCAGAAAATCAGAGTCACCATCATTCTCAACACTCCATCTCAAGCACACAGCTGTGTGATGTTAATGCTCACCTAATTGGCTGCTGACCGCAGTTGGATTTGAAACCTTTGTTAAAAAAAGAACTGGGTGCATTGGGGGAGTTGTATAGACTTCAGTTCTAGTGCTTATCAACCCTGAGAATGGACATTACTTCTCTCCGCTTCCCATCGTGACAAGTAAGAATAATAACAAGCCGTGGGGCTAGTAAAGGTAAAGTAAAGCTACATGATGTAGCTCTGATACAACTTTGACATTAGAAAAAACGAGGACCCTCCTTTCCTTCTCCAGACCAACCCTCTAGAAAAGACATCTTGTTCACAGACACAAAGAACTTGACTTTGGTTAGTATTCTCATTGAGCTGGATCATTCTTTTTTTTGGGGGGGGCGGAGGTGTCACATAAGGCGATGCACAGGCATTACTTCTTGCTCTGTACTCAGCAATTACTCCTGGTGATGCTCAGGGAACCATATGGGATGCTGGGACTCGAACCCTGGTTGGCCACATGTAGGGCAAATGCCCTACCCGCTGTGCTATCACTCCGGCCCATGGATCTTTCATTGGACAGATTAAAGAAGAATTGATTTGGGGACTTACTAAATGCAACAGTGGTTGATCATGAGTAAATATTGTCACATCAAATTCTCAAATAGCATTGGGTATGGTGCACAAGTTCCAAGTGTTGTTTATAAAATTTTATTTTTTCCAGAAGAAAGAAGCATTTAGAAAATTCTCTAAGGAATGTTGTGAAAGTCATAATAGCTTTTGTCTTATCCTACAAATATTTTCCACTATTGCAGCCTAGTATTGCATTTAAGTTGATTATAACTTGTTCTTTCTATGAAGACTTACATGCTGTTATTTCCAATAACATTTCACACTATTCCTCCATACAGACGTTTAAGATGATAATGCTTTTAGAGTACAAGGTGGGACCTATTTAAATGCGGACTCTTGGGTTTTAAATGTTTTTTAAGTGATCATGAATTACAAACTTATTCACGATTGGGTTCCAGGCACCACAGAGTGTTCTACCACCAGTCCTTTCTCTCCGCCAGTATTCCTCATTTCCTTCCCACCCACCAAGCTGCCTATATGACAGGCACTTCTTATAACTTTTGACACTGTGGATTACAGTACTGTTACTGATAGGGTTTTATGTCTAACACTTTACCACTTTCAGTAACAGCCCTGCCCCCACCACCCAAGACTCTCGACCAAAAGTGTTTCTTGTTAGAAGAAACTTTACAAGAAAATTAAGACCTGGAAAGAAGTGTGTTTGGGGTCTATTTTTTGAGTTTTTGCAGCCTAGAATCTAAGACCTTCTGCAAGTGTCTGTGCAAATCATCTCTAAAGAAATCTACATGGGATTGAATTTTGAGAAATTATGTACAATGTTCCCTTTGTTTTGAGTTTCTTGTTATTTTAATCAGACTGAGGTAACTGGCAGTTTCTCCTAGAAAGTTATTTTTTTTAAAAAACCTTCTCAGTTCTAAGAGTTAGTATATCACTTGCCTTGCAACCGACCCACATTGGAGCCTGGGCCCCAGAAAACACCAGGATTGATCACTAAGTGCAGAGCTAGAAGTAGACCTTGAACACAGCCTGGCATAGCCCCCCAAACTAAACAAAACAAATAACCCTACGCACCCTCCCCTAAAACCTTCTCTGTTCTCTAACATTGTGAATGCTGGATACTTGAGAAGTTGGAACAAAATTACTTGTAATACTTTCTGGGGTGTCTGTTATATGATCTTGAGCAAAATGTGTGCTCGTGTTCCGCAAACGCATTTTCTGCCCCATTTTGAAGTTTCCTTAATCTGGTCCTTCGCAGCAGACGATTTGTGCCTTGTCCAGGAATCAGAGCTCTGTCTTTCCCACCAGCATCTCTGACTTTTCCCAGATCAGCTCTTTGCCAGTGAATGACTCAGTGTGTGGGTTCTGCCAGTGTCGGTTGTGGTTCTTCTGAAACCATCTCAACTGACATTGAGCAAGGTCTGCAGAACCAGGGAGAGCAAGCCAGGAAAATAAGATTCACCTTGCTGCCTAACTAACTCCTGCTTTTTTTAGAAAAAAAAAAAAGTGAAGGGGAATAGGCCAGAAAAATAGCTCAACAGGTTCAGTGCTTGCCCGGTACTGCATATGTTTTCCCAGGCACCACTAGAAACAATTCCCAAGCACAGAGCTAGAAATAGGCTTTAAATTGCTGAGTATGATGCAAAGGCAGAGTAACAAACTGACTCCCCCCATTTCCCCCAAAATGTCAAAGCGGAGAACCACCGTTCTGAGAAAAAATGCAATTAGATTTTGTTTTATCTTCTTTATTCACTGAAGTATTTTAGATTTAATTGATAGTTGTCTCTAAAATAAAACATTTCCCATACTTAGGATAATTCTATTTTCCAGGTTTTTTAATACACTTAGTGTATTAAAACTTGACAGGCCACTGATGATTACAGTCTTAATTGTTAAATTCCCAATTAAGTTATGGGCATATTTAAAATGCTTGTTTTTAATCAATGAAAGAAAAATACTATCAGATACTGCATGCACATAGTTTTCTGATGTTAATTATTAACAGCTATCAGTTTATTTCTAGGGTAGCCATTGCTTTCTGACAAAGATTCGAAAGAAAGTTAAGGTCTTCTGTGGGATGCCTGCTAGAGTGTGTTCTTATTTATCCTACAGAGAAGGAAGATTTGGCCTTTATTGTATAGACGGAGGTCAATTATACCAAACAGAAGCTATAGGGCAGAATACATAGCAGGCATGAAGCCCAGCCTCAGTCCAAGCCCTCCCACCTGTCCCCTCGCTAGACCTAACCCGCCACTTGATTTCTTTACACAGAATGCAAAGACTTAAGAATGAAAATGGAAATGTGGCTCAGGAATAGTGGATCGAATTGCTGAACGTGGAAAATAGATGTCTGGTGGGTTGTTAGAATGAGTCCCTACCTACCTACCTGGAAAGATTGCCTTTTGTGTTGTCTAGAAAGCAGCCTTCCTTTGGAATACGCAGAGAAGTTCAGAGAGATTTGATGCCCATCAGAACCAAATTCTTAGTGTGCTAGGAATATC